TCACAGAGATACAAGAAGGGTTTGCCTGATTTGAGTCTCATATTCAATGGATTCTGCAAGTCCTCAAAGATCAGTATGTCCAGGTTGGCTTCAATGTGGTCAACCGCTTTCAGCATTCTTGCCTTCATAAAGTGGGATTTTTGGAAGGGCAACAGTCATGGCAGCCAGAAATGCCAAGTGGATGATCTATCTCAGCCTCCTCCAGTTGTTGCCAGCACCACAGATGCCAGTCTTCAGCCAATTCGACTCACTCCAGGTGATATCAAGAAACTGTTTGAGGCACTGAATACTACAAAAGCTATGGGCCTTGACAGCATTCCAGCAACACTACTGAAAACTTGCACTCCAGGACTTGCCAAGCCCCTAGCCAAGCTTTTCCAGTACAGTTACAACACTGGCATCTACCCAATGATGTGGAAAATTGCCCAGTTATGTTCAGTTCACAAAAAATTGGAACAACTCCAACACAGTCAATTACCACCCTAGCAGTCAACTCTTGATCATCAGTAAAGTGATGAAAGGTGTCATCAATACTGCTATCAAGCAGCACAGCCTTATCAATAGCCTGCTTAGTGACACCCAATTTGGCATCTGCCAGGGTCAATCAATTTCTGGTTCAAACATGGACAAAAGAGCTGAATTCCAGAGGTGAGGTGAGAGTGACAGCTCTTGACATCAAGGCTGTATTTGACCAAGTGTGGCTTCAAGGAGCCCTAGCAAAACTGGAATCAATGGGTATTGGGGGCAAACTCTTCACTGGGTTGGAGTCATATCTGGCACAAAGGAAGATGGTTGTTGAAATACCTCCACAGAGACCGGTATCCTGTCACCAAGATTCCATGTCTAAGTAAAAGGTAAGTCCTTGACATTAATCCAGCTCCCTCAGAGCCAACTCTCAGAGTGAACAAAATCCCTGAAACTTCTGTTTATATCTGTCAGCCAGCGCTCCTTGATTAAACCAGATTAACAGCCCCAATCAGAGAACTCATAGCCTATGATGTCCACCTAGCTGACTTTGCTACAGTCGCTACATCCCACCTCCTCTGAGTCTGAGGACATAGGACAGTTCTTTATCTTGGAGCTCCTTCTGGTGTGTTCTAGCACTGAGCCAGGTTCCTCTAACTGTGCCTTGAATACAGCGGTGTTTAACATACAGTCGCTTGCCTGTGGCACCCAGAGCGTCTTGGAATAAATTCATCCTCTTCATTAGGCAGCGAAGGTGTCGAGGCAATGATATCCACAGTGTTCATCTCAGATTCCGAGGTCTCTTCAGTGCTTGATGGAGAGGGAGAACCTTTCCGATTGTTCTGACGAGCTGTGCGTGTTTTACTCTGATGAGGTATGAAGCCTTCTCTCCAATAGCATCACTGCTGGAGCTATCCCTGTAGTTGCATGAGGGGTGGTCCTGTAATCAAATACGAACTGGGACAGTCAGTATCTCGTGACACTGTAGCCTGTTTCTTTAAGCCTGCATTCAAATGGTTTATCTGCTAGGTCATTGGATGATAGATGGTATGGAGCTGTCTTGATATGTCGAATCCATTCAACTTTGGGAAATACTCAAATTCCCTTGGGGTAAACGATGGTCTGTTATCTATGACCAACACTTCTGGGAGTCTGTTTGTTGCAAAAGATGCTCGCGGCTTTTCTATTGTCGTCCTTGTGTTTGATGAATGAACTTTGTACACATCCAGCCACTTTGAGTGGGCATCCACAATGACTAAAAACACTGAGCCCATGAAAAGACCTACATAGTCAACAAGTAACTGAGCCCAGGGTTTACCCGGCCATTGCCACGAATGTTGGGGAGCTTTAGGCGGTAATTTTTGTCCTTGTTGGCACTCTGGGCACTGGCCCAATAACACAGCCAGTTATTGCAGCCAATCTTGGCCATCAGACGTAACTTCTTGTTGAGATCTTCATTTTGGATGACCCTGGTGGAGTTCAGTCAGTATCTGGCGGCAATGTTTGCTTGAAACAATCCCTCTTGCTCCCCATAATAATATGCCGTCCTCTGCTGTGATCTGGTCTCCACGGGTTCAAAATGGTTTCAGTTCTGGTTATGACAGCCCTTTGGTTTCCCCCATCACTACCAGCTGTTTCAGTTTTGCCAGGAACAGATCTTTCTGCATCCAAAGTCTGATGTTGTCATCTGTGACTGGAAGCGTATCCAGAAAAATTTAAAAACATTACGAGCTCTTCCAGTGGCAATACCACCGGTGCTGCATCTGCCAGTGGGAGGTGGCTCAGTATATCTGCATTCACTACTTGGCCTCCTGGAAGGTGTTCCAACCTGTAATTATATGCCCTTATTCAGCAAATGGGCTCTAATACTTTGGCCTGATGTTATGGGCAGCACCACCTCGACCTCTTTAAACAGATCAGGCAGGGCCATGTGGTCCGCTGTTATAACAGATTTACGTCTGTAAAGGTATTGGTGGAACATCCTGACTCCAGATATGACCATTAAACCTTCCTTCTCTGTCTGGACATACTTATGCTGTGCGTTAGCCCAAGTCCTAGATGCATACACTATTGGGCATTTCACTCCAATGGGCCACCTATGAGTTAATACTATCCCAATGCTGTATGGGGAGACCTCGCATGTCAATACCAGATCTTGCTTGGGATTATGGTGCGCCAACACCTTAGAGGATGATAGCTTTTTCTTCACTTCCCTGAAAGCTATGGATTGGCTTGGCTATGCAACCATTTCCGACCCTTTTTGGGAGTTGATGGATGAGTTTTCCGTAATAATTCACCAGCCCAAGGAAAGACCTAAGCTCCAGTAGAGACGTGGGAGCCAGGGCACCTTTGATCGCCTTCATTTTATCACCCAATGGGTGAAACCTGGTCTTGTTGACTCGGTGGCCCAGGCAGGTCACTTGGGGTGCCTGGAACACACATTTTTCCTGATAACGACATGATGCCAGAAATGCTTACCCCACTTCAAAAATGCCTGTTGCGAATGAATTTCTTCAGGAGCTTTGCTCTTGTGCCACTGAAATAACTCCACAGAGGCTGGTATCCCATCACCAAGTCACCCTTAATTTATATGTGAAAAGATCCACCTCCCTTGGAGCCCATCTCCAATAAGAGACAATCTAACCACTGCTGCTTGACATTCAATGGTATCACCATCACTGAATCCCCCACAATCAACATCCTGGGGTTTACCATTGACCAGAAACCCAACTGGACTGGCCACATGAATACAAGAGCAGGTCAGAGACTGGGAATAGTGTGGCGATTAACTCACCTCCGGACTCCCCAAAGCCTGTCCACCATTGACAGGGCACAACTCAGGGATGTGATGGAATGCTCCCCATTTACCTGGATATGTGTAGCTCCAACAACACTCAAGAAGCTTGACACCATCTAGGACAATGCCAGCCACTTGTTTGGTTCCATTTCCACAAGCATGCATTCCATCCACCAACGATGCTCAGTAACAACAGTGTGTACCATCTACAAGATGCACTGCAGAAATTCTTTGAAGATCCTGAGATATCACCTTCCAAACCCATGATCACTTCTGTCTGTAAGGACAAGGGCAGCAGATACGTGGGAACTCCATCACCTGCAAGTACCCCTCCGAGCCACTCACCATCCTGACTTGAAAATATATCGTTCTTTCAGTGTCACCAGGTCAAAATCCTGGAATTGCCTCTGTAAGGGCATTGCAAGTCTACCTGCAGCACATGGTCTGCAGCAGTTTAAGGAGGTAGTTCACCACCGTCTTCTCAAGGGCAACTAGGGATGGAAAATAAATTATGTCTAGCCACACCCAGCAGTGAACAAAAAAAAAGAGTACAGGTGTTGATTTCAGTGTACAATTGGTTGATAGGCTGAGGGTAATTACTGAGTGTTTTGTGCAGCTACAGTCTGCCCCCACCTGGGGCAAGTATTCTGCAGAAGAGTACAAAACATCCAGACTAGCAGTATGAAGAGTACTTCCTATGCTGTACCAGCAGAGCAACGCAGCTGACATGGGGAATCGGTGGCGTGGTTCACTATGGATAGAATACTCAGTCTGCAGTCTCCATTACTGAGTGTGTCTCAATACCAACTTAGTCAAGCACCCAGGGCATCACTAATCATGAGATGAACTCCAGCAACTTGGGAAGGGTATGCTGTTACTTGAGGAAAACTAGATGCAGAATAGAAGGTGCAAGAAGAATATAAAGCTGTACCTCAATCACTACTCCCCCACCACACCCCCACCCCACTTTCCCAAGCAAGCTCAAGTGTGAGTGGAGGAGTGAGAATTCTACTTTAGTTATTTATTTATCCATTTGACATGCATAGACAGCAGCCAAGAAAGATATCTCCTGATGTTTTACCAGTAAATTCCTGTCCAGTTACTCTACTCCTCCTTGAAATCTTATGCAGCCCATGTGTATCCAGTCTGGTGTTGGTCGGTGCCAAAACAATGTCTGTTTAAAATGATAATAAGACTTATCTTGTAAAATCTTTTTTTGTCATTGAACTTCTAATTGCATGTAAAGCATTCCAGAACTGTCTTCAAGAGGAAGAAATTTAATCAGTGTGATGTTCTGGAGAATAAATCTGGTGTGATAAATAAATAACAATGCTTTAATAAGAACTGATTTTAAATTTAATAGGAGTGGACAGTGTAACCAGCAGAGAAATGATCCAAACAACACAATATTTGTAGGATTCCATTAATGCTTCAGAATGAGTAATATACATGCGCCACCATTGGCAATAATTTATTACCATTTATAGTAAAACTTTACAATATGAAAGAAAATATTTGTAAAGCATAAGAAGCTTTATATTTTGCAGTTTGAAGTGAATGAAATTAATATCTTCTCTCCGCACATGTTGTGTTGTTATTAGTATAAATTATAATGAAAGTCTGTCTTTAACTTGACAGGAATTAAAGCCGTATGTTTGTTATTACACTTCACAAATCTTTTTTTCTTCCACTTCTCTCTTTGTCTCTCTCTCTTTTTCTCTCTCTCTCTGTTTGCCAGGCTATTCATTATATGGAACTTATTCCAAAGGAAATGCAGCCAATTGCTGGCACAGAGGGGGCCTACTATCGCCGTAAGCAACTAATGAGGCAGCTGCCAGTCTACGACCAGGACCCTTTCCAATGCCATGCTTTGTCGGAGAGTGAGGTGAAGAGCATGGAGGAGTTTGTCAGGAAGTACAAGAATGAGTCACTGGGAGTTGGAGAAGTGGCACTGCCAGGCCAGGTGGGTAGTGCCAAAGAAAAAGCTAACCCGAAGCAGAAAAATGAAGCCATGGGACAATTTAGCAATGGTAAAACAGCAAAAGGGGAGCCTCGGGATGGTCCCGCTTCAACCAATGGAACGCCACCGGAGGCCCAAGAGAGAAATGAATATGTGAGTAATTAGTGTAATTTGGCTTCAAATTAAGGTATGAAAGAAATAAGATACTTGTGGATCCATTTAGCTTTCATGTGTGTTGTTAAACTTTTTTTTTCAAAAGAAAATAGCTTCTTTTGGCACATGTGAAACCAATTATTCCAAGGTACACATTAGGAAAAATTCTTGTTGCTCTTCGAGAATGATTGCGTATTTCAGCACGACTACTTGGCATTTAGATTTTATGCGCTCTCATGAAAGAGTTCAATTTTTTTTAGCAGTCCTTTCTTTCTTTCATTCTCTCTATTTATGGTTGTTTTTCTAGCTTTCTTCTTCTTTCAGTGTTTCTCTTTTTTTAATCTTTCCCACCAATTCCTGCAATAATCAGTGTCGGGAATTGGAACTTGATGCAGTTCACTGTAAGTATCAAATGAAAACAGAGCTGGTTATCTTTGTATGTGTGTCTCTCTTTCACCCCTTCAGTAGGCTGGATTTAGTGATTGACAAGCAGCGTGCTTCATGATCTACATTTATTTAGTCATTGAAGAAAAAGGAAAGGAAAACAGATCAGGACAAAGCAACTTTCACCAATCTTTAATATTTGTCATTCTGCCCTCTTTCACTTTTAATACAACTGGGGTGACCTTTGATGCTTTTACAGCTCACCCTGGGTCAAGACCAAAGGAAACTTTTAGTCTTTACATCACCTCCATTGTCTAATGATACTCCTTTGTACTTGCATTTTATTTTCAAGAGTTTCTTGAATATATATTTTTTGCGCTAGCTATAATAAAGGGTTCCTTTCTAGCAGACATGAATGAAAAAGCTCTTTTCAAAAACCTAGTACTATAAATTATAAAAAGTGCCAGTGTGATGGTTTTGAACAAGCTCCTACTTGCACAGAATGCCTGATTTGAATAGCATAGTTGGTGCAGCTTAATTGTAAGTCTTATGAAAGGTGGAAAACAGAGACCCATATTGTTCATTCTTTTAATGACTATTTTGTATGAATTATTAAAGAAAAAGAAGTTAAATGATTTGATTTTTATTGGATTCTGTTTAATTATCTCTTTGGCCCCTATCTCCTAAAGACATGAACAGGAGTATGTTGTTTGGCCACTCTGGCCTGTTCCATATTCCGTCTGACCTTGATTGATCTGTACCTGAACTCTATCCACTTAATTTAGTTCCAGGGCTTTTTGATACCTCTACTCCACAAAGCTCTTAGCTAACCCAGCTCCCAAGGTTTCCTCCTTCCTCTGCGAAACCTCAAGTTAAGCTTCCACCAGCAGCCAGTTGTGCCTTGGTTTGACATCCTAGAATGACCTGATGCAGAGGAACAGCCTACTTGCAGCTTGTCCAAGGGAGTGTATGCATCAATGAACAATGGACGAAGAAGGGTAATACACGAAATGTTGACTACTCCTTTCCTCCAGATGCTGCCTGGCCTGCTGCATTCTTCCAGCTTCCTGTTGTCTATCTTGGATTCCAACATCTGCAGTTTCTTTGTCTCTAATGGACTGAATCTTGCCTTTTTATTGGCTAAACATCTATTTCGTCAAGTTTCATTGAGGGTTTCACTCCTTTAGACCTATTGAGTGTTGCTATTTATCCAAATTGGCTGAATTAAGTACCTACCAACCCCCAAGGCTTATCCGATGCTAGCCTGATTCTACCACATGCTGTACCTGGAACAACACACCCCTGCCAGAATGGGCCAGCATCCTGGCATCAGTGCCATCTTTAAAAGACTGCTGCACCCTGTAGACAAGCACTGTCAGTCCAGAACTATCCTGCACAGTTTGGGACATATTCCCCATGCATGGCAGACAAGGGGAAATTGGTGTCTCGCGTCGTCGACAGGGTATTGGAAGTCCTAGTAGATGGCATGGTGCAGAAGAGAGCCACCAGCTATCCCCAGGCAGAAGAGGCCATGACATAAGATCCTATTAGCCTAGTCTGAGAGGTTGCCACCCAATGCAGTCTCAGGCATCTGGAACAATGTAATAACGTAAGTGACATTCTCCATTTTGACAGGGCAAGTGCCACAACTTTCCTTATGCTACTCACACTCACTGTATCTGTGCTTCTGCATCTACCTGCCATTAAGACTCAAACTGTCCTCCTTTACCTATTGCTCAAACTTCTCATGTGATTCTCTGAGATTCCTCTTAGAGCCCACATAGTTTAGGCCCCTATCAGATTCCACCCAATCTGTTTTTTACTTCCGACAAATGACATATTGCTGGTGAAATGTCACCTTCATTACCATGAGATTGAATGATGGGGATCAATAGGGATGTTCGACAGATAACTATAGAGCTGAGAAAAGGTTGTCTCTTGTGTCACAAATGCCTTTCACTGTATGAAAATCAGATGCTGGACCTCTGAAAGAAAAGCAAAATGCTGCCAAATCTCAGCAGGTCTTAGATTATTGAGATTACCCCTCAATTACTGCTGACAATAGTGTTACAGTTCAGGGATATCAGAGTGACAAAGTGCACCAATAAGCCCAGCAATGTAATCTTTTCTGTAACTGTATGCTCGGCTTCTAAATCCATTTATTACAATATGGTTTTCCCTCCTGGGACAGCAGACATGGCTATAAAAACAGGTAAAAAAGCCAAATCTATTATTCACTGGGAAGTTGAATTTTGTAGTTAGAGACAATATAGTTGTAACTTGAAACAACCACTTGAAAGCACTTATAATGATGAATGGAATACATTAAAATCTGAGAATGTCCAGCTGCAAAACAGAACCTGGCTAATCTCAAGTGCTTTCTGATAAAGCCTTAGAACATGAACTCCGACCTTTGCCCTTCCTGAACCACTAATTACAGTGAAATTACAGAGTCTGACTTATTTGAAGTCATATATACAGAGTTACCTGATGATTAGGTTAATTAGCAAGAGGGGAAGTGAACTGATTTTGAAAATGTGCATTAAGCAAACCTCAAATACATAATTCTCTGAGAAAATACCAGCATGTTTTCAGATTGCCAACATTCACGTATTAGGTCAAGTGTGGTTTGTCACGTTTTCCACCAAATGTATTTAGAAAATGTTATTTTCTTGTTGATTGAAAAGAGTCGCTTACTACCTTTGCATTTATATATTTGTGAAGAAAACATAGGAATTTTTCTCATGCAAGTTTTGCCATTTGGATGGGGTCTAGCGAGGGTGGGCAACCTGCATGTCATCTTGCAGTACAGTAAAGGGGAAATCTATTCATCAGTAGTCATTAGGAAAATAAAACCAGTTGCAGAAGTTGGAAGCTAATATTTTGAAACCTCCATTTCAAATTTAAGTGTATTATCCTCAAGTAATACTTCAGCTTTTCTCTAATGTTTGGAGGCTTTCCTGCTCCACAGACCATTTCATTTTAGATTCTGAATTGATTAGCAATCTTATTATGTTGGAAATTGCGACCATGTGTGAAAATGTGGGCCATAATTAGGAGAGTTCACGGATGCCCCAATCCTAATTGAAATTAGTTATGTGGACTGGTTCAAATTACGAGCTGGATAATGTATCTCAGATCTCAGCCAAATTCTGTCTGATGCACGGTGAGGGCCACAAGCTGATGACTTTTTCTGACACATGTCACAGCAGCACTAGAAAGCAGTAGAAGGCAGGTAACATCATGTTTGGAAGCCTGTTCATTCAGATAGAAACCAGGATATTTGTTGAGGGGAGGGAGAGAATAAAGAGTGTGCAGATTCATTTCTGGCTACAGTTGAATTTACAATCCTTGACTGGTGGCTAGCTGGTCACATTCAATACAAAGAGCTCACTGTAAACAGCCAATGTTCTAACATTTGCCTTTTTAGAAAAGTTTAAGGATTTTATATTGTGCTGTTTGCCACCTTTATCTAATAATGCGACATCCAACCCCAAGGAATGCATGGGCTTTTTTTTATTCCAGATAGTAAAAGCCCCACTCTGGGTCTTGATCATCTGAAGCCATCAAGGAAGTACCAGAGGGTGCATTGTGTTTTCAAGTCTCCATTCTTTGTTGGGCTTTTGAAAAAATGCTGTTAAGATTCTGGTAAATGTTAAAGCCTCTGTGGTGCTATCAGAAAAGTGTGGTGTTCTCTTGCTGTGCTGGGCAGTGTTTCTCCCTCATCCAACGCCATCAAATCAGATTGACAGGCCATTTGTCATGTTACAGTTTATAGAATACTGCTCTGCATACACTAGCCCATGTATAAAGTTATTGAGCTTCAAAGTCATGAATTATGCTATATTCAAAAAGCATATAAATGCATTATGCATTCAGGCTGTGTCTGAGAACAGTGAATTTGATGTGGAAATGGTTTGAGTTTGTACATATTTTCAGGGTTTCTAAATTCAACAATGATGAGGAGCTAATGGGCTAATATTTGCTGAGACCAGATTTACAGTCATCTCAGCTGCTTCGCTCTCTTCCCCAAGCCAACTGGGCCAGGCTTCCCCAATGTTTTTGCCCTTGCATTTTTCTCTGGATTCTGGTTCATTTCTATTTCCCCCACAAGCACAAACCAAACTCATCTTTGAAATGGGACCCACCCTCCGATGCCTTGACCATGCACTTTCCTTTTCTGAATCCCATGTTAGCTGACATGTTGACAGATTTCTCTCTTCAGGCTCTATCCTTCAAATTTGCTATGATCTCTCTTTCTTAAAATCCCCAACTTTAATCCCTTCATCTTTGCAAAGTACACCACCATCCCATCTCCAAGTTTCCTTTCCTGATCAAAATCCTTCGATATGCTATCTCCCCCAAATTCGTATACATCTTGCCCTGAACTCCATGCTTGAATCCTTCTAATCAGTTTCTCTCCTTGCCACAAAAACCTCAACCTTTCAAAGTCACAAATGATATTCTGTGTAACTGTAACAGTAGTAATACATCCATCATCTTTGGTCACCACCACAAACTCCATTCCCAACTACTGGCAATATACCCAACCCTAACAACTGTCTGTGACTAAACTAGACTGTGTGCATCCTCAGTGTCATCTTTGATCCTATGAT